TATAATAGCTGCTGTAGATAGTAATTCCTCTGATGGATCTGGGTAACATAAATTGAAAACCTCTTGGAAAGGATTCACCATTCTAGATGCCATTGAGGACATTCATAATTCATGGGAAGGGATTAAAATATCCACATGAACAGAAGTTTGGAAGAAGTTAATATCAACTCTCCTGAATTACATTGAGGGCTTCAAAACCTTAGTGGAGGAAGTAACTGCAAATGTGATGGAAATAGCAAGAGAACTAGAATTAGAAGTGGAGCCTGAAGGTGTGACTGAATTGCAATCTCACGACAAAACTTCAACAGATGAATAGTTGTTTCTCATGGATGATTCAAGTGGTTTCTTGAGATGGAATCTACTCCTGGTGAAGATGTTATAAAGATTGTTGAAATGACAACAGAGGATTTAGAATGTTACATAAATTTAGTTGGTATAGCAATTGTAGGGTTTGAGAGGATTCATTCCAGTTTTGAAAGAAGTTCTGCTATGCGTTAAATGCTATCAAATAGCATTGAATGCTACAGAGAAATTGTTCATGAAGGGAGAATCAGTTGATGCTGCAAACTTCATTGTTGTCTTAAGAAATTGCCTCAGCTATCCCACCTTCAACAACCTCCACACTAGTCAGTCAGCAACAACCCTCCATTAGCAAAAAAAGATTATGACTCACTGAAGACTTAAATGATGGTTAGCATTTTTTTAGCAATAAAATATTTTGTAATTAAGGTACCCTGTTTCCCTGAAAATAAGACAGTGTCTTATATTAATTTTTGCTCCCAAAGATGTGCTAGGTCTTATTTTCAGGGGATGTCTTATTTTTCTATGAAGAAGAATACAGTACACATTTATTGTTAAATGAAAATAAAGGAAATTTATTACCTATATACGGTATGGTAGTATGGTAGTTGTCAACACAAACGAGACAAACTGTGAATCCTACAGTATCAAAAATTTACTCATTTATTCAATGACAATCATGTCATCATCTTCTGGAACATCATCATAACAATCCAATTCCTGAATTTCCTGGTGAATTTCTTGTGATTCCATTTCTTTCAGAATCAGTGGACCAAATCTCTCATGTTTAGCCAAGGGGGGGCCTTATTTTTTGAGGTGATGTCTTATATTTCACTCAGAAGGAAACCTGTAAGTCGGTCTTATTTTCAGAGGATGTCTTATTTTTGGGGAAACACAGTATATACTGTAAATTTTATCTTTTAATCCTCATCGAGAATAGTTTTTCCATTGAGTTTTAGAGAGTGGAAGGGAGGGAGGGAGGCGAGAGAGGGGGAGAGAGAAAAACGTCGAAGTGACACATTGATTGGCTATCTCCTGTATGTGCGGTGACCAGGGCTGGGGATTGAACCTGCAACCCAGGTATGTGTCCCTGACTGGGAATCGAACTCAAGACCCTTTTGGTTGTCACACTGATGCTCTAACCATCCTTAAGAAGAATGAAACATTAGCTGGGGCACATTGTGTTTTTAGATATAATACTGTTGTACACTTAATAGACTATAGTATAGTGTGAACATACTTTCATATAATTTGGAAACGAAAATATTCATGTTACTTTTTATTGTGATGGTCTAGAACCGAACCCACAATACCTCAGAGAAGTGCATGTAAACACTTTCCTTACTATTCAGATTTAGACATCTAACATGGCCAGGAGCCACCACGTACTCCTTCTTAATTACAACACCCTTCATTCCCTTAACTTGATGGAAGTTACTTTCTTTTTTTTAAAATATTTTTTTAAATTGATTTTAGAGAGGAAGGGAAAGGGAGGAAGAAAAACACATCAATGATGAGAGAGAATCATTGATCGGCTGCCTCCTACATGCCCCACACTGGGGATTGAGCCTGCAACCCAGGCATGTGCCCTTGACTGGAATTGAACTTGGGAGCCTTCACTCTGCAGGCTGACGCTCTATCCTCTGAGACACACTGGCCAGGCTTCTTGCTTTTTTCTTCATTGTTTTTTACTTATATTTGCATCTCCAACACTATAGTTTAATTTTGTCTGTTTTTGAACTTTTTGAAAATAAAATAAATTATGGTGTGTGTTTTTTCTATTTTTAATTTGTTTTTAAGAACCATCTATATTGTTGTAATTGTAGTTCATTCATTTTTTATTTTATAATGTCCATTTATTGAGCACACTAACCATGTATTGATTCTACTGATAATGGGCACTTTGGTTGTTTACAGTCAAAGTTACAGATGGTGCTGCCATTAACATCTGGAATTGAATTTTGATGTGTATAAACATGTATTTCTCTAGGGAATCGAAACCTAGGACTGACATTGCTGGGTCATAGGATATTTGTATTTTCAATTGTAGCAGATAATGCCAAACTGTATTCTCAAATGGTTGGATCCATTTTCGGTATAACCGTTTTACATCCACAATAACACTACTTGGCATTGTTAAACTTTAATTTTAGCCTTCTTAAGGATGCGATAATATATTGTGGTTTTAATTTGCATAATTTTGTGTCTTCCTTTTATTGTTAGGTTAAATACCTTTTAATGTGAGTGTTGGATATCCTCTGATATAATGCCTTATTCACATTTTATGCCTATTTTTCTTCTGGGCTGTCCTTATTGACTTACGGTCTAGCTACAAGATCTTTGTTGGGGGTAATATGAATTGCAAATAGCTTGCCCTTTTTACTCCATTAATGGTGTCTTTAAAAAAATATTTTTATTGATTTTAGAGAGAGGAAGGGAGAGGGAGGGAGAGAGAGAGAGAGAGATGGAAACATCAATGATGACAGAATCATCAATTGGCTGCCTCCTGCACACCCCCTTACTGAGAATTGAGCCTGCAATATGTTTAGGAATTGAACCACTTGGTTCCTGGGTTGATGCTCAACCACTGAGCCACAACAGCAGGGCATTAATGGTGTCTTTTGATGAACAAAGGATCTTAATGTAGTTCACTTGATTAGTTTTATTTTGAAGGATTATTCTTTTTAAGTTTATTATGTTTTAACATATACTTAAGTCTCAGAAATATAAGTGTTTGGTTAAAAGGTATGTATAGTTTTTAGATTTTTGTTTTACAGTTTACTTGCTCAGAGATAATTTTGTTGCATCATTCCAAGAACATGGCAGTTAATTAGTATAATTACAAGCTTAATACTGAAAATATTCTTTTAAAAATATATATATTTTATTGATTTTTTTACAGAGAGGAAGGGAGAGAAATAGAGAACTAGAAATGTCAATGAGAGAGAATCATCGATCAGCTGCCTCTTGCACAGCCCCCCACTGGGGATGTGCCCGCAACCAAGGTATATGCCCTTGACTGGAATCGAACCCCGGACCTTTCAGTCCGCAGACCGAAGTTCTACCACTGAGCCAAACCAGTTTCGGCTGAAAATATTCTTTAGCTTTGATACAGAGGAACATTTCTAGCAAGTAGGAAAAAGAGATAAAGATCTAAAAAGCTTTCTTTTTTATTCCTTTAAGTCAGTCTGACTTGGATTTAAATTAGTGAAAATAAATTAAGGAAAACTTAATATAGTAGACGAAGGAACCCATGAAATTGATGAGTTAGACTTTTGTGGATGTCCTTTATAAATTTCTGGAGGTAAAGTCATGATCTTACCTAACCTTCACATACTTTTATTCAAAGAAGACACCCCATCCCAATTTATCTCTATTCATCATCTCTTCTCTCCAAACTTCTTTATGTTCATTCATACTTATTCCTAGTTTCAAGATGTAAGATAGCTCCTAATTTTTCCTTAGGAATGGATGGGGTTTAATTCTGAGACTCTACAACAGAGCCTGTGAGAAGAAGCATTTACTGGTTGAAATTTGGAATGGAGCGCTCCTCCACACTCTTGCTTCATGTTCATTATCTTACTTTAGATCTCCATCATGTTCATTTCTGTCAGTGTGACTCTTCTTCCTCCAGACTTCCCATGCTTAACAGAATGAAATCCCTAAAACTCAAATCATTCCCCTGACTACAGAGACTCCAAAACAATAAAAATCTTAATCCCTCAGCACACAGTGTTATCTGCCCTCTTGCTAGAGAGATCTCTAGTCCCCTCAACATACTCTCTTCCCCCTATGCCTGCTGAAATCTGTAGTTTCCTTAAGTTTGAAATACTCTTCCACAGTGTTCATTTTATTGTCAACTATTTATTTCCCACTGCCAACCCATCTGCCTGCTAGCTAATGACACTTATTTTTTAGCTAACTTTAAAAAAATATATATCTTTATTGATTTCAGAGGGAAAGAGATAGAAAGAACAATGATGAGTTGCCTCCTGCACCTCACTCATTGGGGATCAAGCCCGAAATTTAGGCATGTGCCCTTGACCACAATCGAACCTGGGACCCTTCAGTCCATAGGCTGGTGCTCTGTCCACTGAGCCAAACCAGTTAGGGCAGCTAACATCTTTTTTTTTTTTTTTTTTTAAAGAATTTATTTTAGTAAATTGATGTGAGAGAGAAATATCAATTGGTTGCCTCTCGCATGCACTCCTGACCAGGAATCGAACCTGCCACCTTTTGGTGTATAGGACAATGCTCTAACCAACTGAGCCTTACAGGCCAGGGCTTAGCTAACATCTTTTAAAACTTTTTGGAAGCCTATCTCCCTGATTCTTAATTCACTTTCTGTGCTTCATGCATCAGACTTAGATGCTCCCTCTTGTGAGCTGCTGCATTTCTCTGTATTCCTCTCACTATGCTTTGTAGTATAATAGGTTTGATTTTTCTCCCCTACTCAGTTCAGCTCCTTGAGGTTAGGCCCATTTCCTACTCCTGATAACTATCCCCCAAAACTAGCATTTATAGGAAGCACCCATAAGTATTTAGTGAATGATTGAATGCAAAGTTTTATCTCACTTTCTTGATATATGTTTGAAAAGAACTTGCTTAGAAAGGGAAAAGCAATACATGTTTAGAAATTACTACTATGCTTGGTCGATTTGTAGGGTTTTTGCTCACCCGAGTTTTCCTTACTGTCACAGAAAGATGCCCTGCAGTGGTCTCGCAATCCGGCTGCAGTGGAGGGAGAGGAGCCCGAGGACACAGCCGATGTAGAGAGCTGTGGGTCTAATGAAACCAGCACTGTGAGTGGAGAAAATGATGGTAAGTGTCCTTAACAAGATGGGTGAAGCGCCATAAACAGTCATTAGGCACTAACCTTTATTCCCCTCTGTTCCAGTATCACTTGATGAAACGTCTTCTAATGCTTCCTGTTCTACAGAATCTCAGAGTCGGCCTCTTTCCAATCCCAGGGACAGCTACAGAGCTTCCTCACAGGTAGGGAGGAGAGTTGGTGACGGGGGTATAAGAGAGGCCAGGCAGATAGGACTGTCAGTCCTGTAGTTAATTGTGAGTGTGTTTGAAGAATGGAGAAAATCAATTTGGTCTCCACCTATTAGTACCATTTAAAAGTGGGCTGCAGAAAAAGTGGGTCATAGATCTGACAACAGGGTGATTTGTGTGTTTTTTTTCCTCCTCTTTACATGACTGGACAGCCATAGAGAAGTAGAGCGTTGTGCAGAATGTGGAGAACAGGAGCCTGGGAGTTAGTACCGTGTTTATCCGAAAATAAGACATCCTCCGAAAATAAGACCTAGCGCATGGAAAGACAAGACATCCCCTGAAAATAAGACCTAGCGCAACTTTGGGAGAAAAAATTAATATAAGACACTGTCTTTATTTTCGGGGAAACAGAGTAGTTTGAATTTTGGCCCTTTCCCTCACTAGTTTTGGGAACTTGGCAAATTTCTTATCTGTAACATGGGGATAACGATAGATTCTTCTTAGCGTGGGTGGTGTTTGGCATAGGGACTGGCACCTGGCCCAATAACAGTGTTGCTGTTAACATTACCTGGCCGAGTTTGCCGAGTACAAACTCCGCTCTTTAAGACAGTAAGTGGAGACGTAGTCGAGAGGGACTGCTGCTGTGGCCTTGCAGGTGACTCGGATTCTTTGGGTTCCTCTGGGAATATAGGCAAACAAGCAAAAGAAAAAGACTGGGGTGATGCTGCCTCGAGTTGTCCTGACTCCTCTGAAGGTAAACGGGGCCCACGTGGAATCTGCGTCAGGTATGTATAAGATCTTGATTGTGGTGCCTCTTCCTCAGCTCCTGGGGCTGCCTCCCAGAGGCAGCAGTTTCTCAGCTAGTTAGTGCGATGCCTGTGGAGTCGAGAGACCCTCCTCTGGCAGCAGGACGCTATGGTGGCGAGACCTGACCTAGTTCCAGTGCTGGACTCTGCCGTGCCCTCCCCCTTTGCCTCACAGGGTGGCTGTGAAGGCCGGATGGAGTGTGCAGGTGCTTTTTGTAAAAGGGGCAGTGCTGTGCAAACTAAATGGCAGTTTGGCATTCTTACTTGTTATTTTAAAGCCAGTCCATGAGGTGTTGAGCTCTGACAGCCCAAGGCTGGACTATGGAAGCACCTGGTATAGCTGGCCGCACCTCAGGAAGAGTTGGGAGAAGGGAGCTTTTGTCTGAGAGCCATGGTCATGGCGGGTGATACTTTTGACCAGTGAAATGCTGTGCCTTCAGGGTTCTCGGGCCGCCACGCTGATGGCGAGAGTGGCAGCCCCTCCAGCAGCAGCAGCGGCTCTCTGGCCTTGGGCAGCGCTGCTATCCGTGGCCAGGCCGAGGTCACCCGGGACCCTGCCCCGCTCCTGAGAGGCTTCCGGAAGCCGGCCACAGGTGAGTGGGCTTTAAAGAACCCTTAGTACTTTCATGGGCTTTAAAGAACCCTTAGTACTTTCTGAATTTCTTTGCCTGTAAAGGGGGTCCCTGCAGGCCAAGTGACATGAGGAAGTCTACTTCTTTTACCAGTTTATCTTGGGTGGCCCTCTATTTCATTTTGGCTATCCCACAGTAGATTATCTCTGCTAGACTGAGAGAGAACTCCTAATGGGCAGAGATGGTGTCACATCGCTATGTGTCCTCGTAAGGGCCTAGTCTGCCTGCTTTAGTGGTCCTTCTCAGTCAGTGTCTGCATGAGTGAAAATTACTTCTGAGTTTCTCAGTGAAGAATTCCAACGTCCATTTTCTTTCTTTGGTAACATCCTGCCATATTTGTTCTCAAAATCATAGTGTCTGTCAGCTGTCCTTTTCTACAGCCCCGGTCAGCATACTGAGTGGAAGCCTAAGTTGGATTTGGGAGATGCAAACAAATTTGGTAGTGTGCACCTCCCATGCCCAGTAGGTTTACTTACAAGGCCAATACACTGTTTGCTGTTTTTAGATTTATATCTCAAAGCCCACGTGCTGGCCACAAAAATCCATTAAGAACTAGCAGTGGCTTGTGAAATTAGAATAAACCATTGCCCAAGTCTGAACTAGGTCTGCTTTTCCAATTCCTCAGCAGTGCTCAATCTAAGATGAACAGGTCTCTATTCTAAGTGATTAAAATAAAATTAAAAAGTAACATTTGCTGAGGCTTCTGTGAGAGGTATTGACATTTTCATGGGCTTTAAAGAACCCTTAGTACTTTCTGCATGGAAATCATACCTCTTCGGCCCATTCATAAGAAGGCTTCTGCAGATTTTCCCATAGTACATAATAGATTTACTTTTAGACAACTTCCATCATTTCACCAGCTGACTCTGTGGAACTTGAGGGAAGGTCAGGGCCTGCCCTTGCCTGGTTGTGTGGGGAAGAGTGTCCTCTTCAGGCTGTGACAGAGCTTAGTACGGTCTTATATGAGAGGATGCAAGCCTAAGTGTTCTTTTGGGTTTGATGGCAATGACAGTCAGTGGGAAGAATAATTGTATCATAAAGGTTAGGGTGTACTGTGTAGTCGAGTAGATTGTGTACCAATAAATTCTGGGTAGCTTGGGTGCCACCAAAGTTTTCCCCTACAGTTAGCATTTGTTTCTTCTGCTTTAAGAAGCTGAAAATGTGTACATTGCTTTTTATTACTTCAAAAATCACAGGTCAAATGAAGCGTAACAGAGGGGAAGAGGTAGATTTTGAGACACCTGGGTCCATTCTTGTCAATACCAACCTTCGGGCACTGATAAATTCTCGGACCTTCCACGCCCTGCCATCCAACTTCCAGCAGCAGCTCCTCTTCCTCCTGCCTGAAGTGGACAGACAGGTACGGATAGGTAGCCTCTTCAGTGCTTCTCTCTGGGCGAGCTTCTGTTGTCTTTCTAAGTTTTTATTTACCAGTCTTTTGCCTGATCCTTCTAGGTGGGGACGGATGGCCTGTTGCGTCTTAGCAGCAGTGCGTTGAATAATGAGTTTTTCACCCATGCGGCTCAGAGCTGGCGGGAACGCCTGGCTGATGGTAAGTAGACGCTTTCATCTCAGATAGTTTGAGAGGTACCTGCCATGTGTGGTATCATTTGTTTTCTAAAAACCCCATTTTTACCAATTTCTCTTTTTTCCCAAGGGGTATTTAGTGTAAGGCAGGTTTTCCTCACAACACTAATAAATGTGGCGGGTGTTCATGTGCTTCATGGCTTTCTAAGGTACAAGGTATTGGGGCTTTTATTGTTTTGTGTGTATATATCCATCCTCATTGCCTCTTCATCATTAAACCTGTCAACTCCTATTGTTTCCATTAAACATGCAGTTGTCTGGGTGGGTGGAGGAAAGTGCACCTGAGGCATTGAGCTACAATATTAATCTTTATCAGATGCTCTGTTTTTAGACATCGCCATTTGGAGTGACTGTTAGCTTCTCTTAATTTAGTTTTGTGGGGAAGTTGCAAGGAGAGTGTTGGGAAGTCTCAGACCTCTTCCAGGTCCAGTGATTGACTAGGAGGATTCACAGCACTCAGCATAGAGTCTTCTTTATGGCTGTAGTTTATTACAGTTAAAGAATACAGAGCGAGCCGGGACCGGTTTGGCTCAGTGGATAGAGCGTCAGCCTGCGGACTGAAAGGTCCCGGGTTCGATTCTGGTCAGGGGCATGTGCCTTGGTTGCGGGCATTTCCCCAGTGGGGGTTGTGCAGGAGGCAGCTGATCGGTGATTCTCTCTCATTGATATTTCTAACTCTCTAACCTTCTCTCTTCTTCTCTGTGAAAAATCAATTTAAAAAAAATATATTTTAAAAAAAAGAATACAGAGCGAAATCAGCAAAGGTGAAGTCCAGGGAAATCAGAAGCAAGCTTTCCAGGTCCTCCTCCCCCAGTAGAATCACACAGGATGCGCTCCTTCCCCCAGCACTGAGCTGTGACAGCACATGTGAAATGTGGTCCACCAGGGAAGCTTGTTAAAGACTTGGTGCCCAGGGTTTTATTAAGGGCTGATCAAATAGCATGCCTGTCTGTGCCTGGCATATACCCAAATTCCAGATTCCCCAAAGGAAAGCAGTTGCCCGCCACAAACCATATTGTTTGCAGAAACAGTTTAGACACAGTGAGCTGCTCATATCAGTTTTGGGGGTGGGAACCCTTCCCAAATCCAGGTTCCTAGATGTCGGCCAAGGGCCAACCTTGTAAGCAGCCCTTTCTAAGGATAAGCAATCAGGCCTGCTAGGTTAACTTTTTTCTGCACAGGAAGTGAGAATGGTTCTTTGGTTTTTTTCTGCTCCTTTGAACAACGTGTTGCTGTTTTGAAGACTAAATTTCCCTTATAACAGACATGTTAGTTTTGTCCTGAGAAAAGCATGATGTGAGAGATACTTTAGAGGAGACAGGAACCAGTGTGAAGATAGTGAGGATTAAAAAAAAAAAATCTCTAAACTCATCAAAGTCATATGTATTTTGAAAACTCAGGAAGTAGAACTACTTTCCGTTATACACATGAATATCCTGAATGCATGTACTCAAAAGTTTTATTTCTCTCTAGGTGAATTCACTCATGAGATGCAAGTCAGGATACGACAGGAAATGGAGAAGGAAAAGAAGGTGGAACAATGGAAAGAAAAGTTCTTTGAGGACTACTATGGACAGAAGTAAGGCACTTGGTTGCTGTGAGTCTTGGTCTGGGATTTAGGGGGATAAAGGCAGGTGTTCTCCAAGTCATGCATACTTTTGTATTGGCTGAAAAGGTGGAGATGGCCATCATGTGGCTCGTGTAGCCTAATGCCATAGGGAAGGAAGCTACTAGAGCCTGTGTTAATGGTATGCACCGTTTAGATTCACTTTGTTCTGAGAGATCTAATATCTGAGTGCGACATTCATGTAGATAAAATAAGCATGCTTTCTCTGCCCTGTAACTGACGGTGTGAGTTTGGTTTGCAGGTTGGGTTTGGCCAGAGAAGAGTTGTTGCAGCAGAACGTGGGCCCCAAGGAGGCTGAAATCAAGAGCGACCGGCGCGTCCCAGGAGGATCTGCACGGCCACAGCGTGGTCCAGCCACCCGGCAGCGAGATGGGCATTTCAAGAAACGCTCTCGGCCAGATCTCCGAACCAGGGCCAGAAGGAATCTGTACAAAAAACAGGAGCTAGAACAAGGAGGGATCATTAAAGACACACAGTCTGTGACACCCGACATCCCCCTCTACAAGGATGGGGAGGCTAAGACTGACTCAGCAGGGACAGGCAGTCCCCACCTGCCTGGTACATCCTCTGCAGTGCCTGACTCTGAGAGCCCCAGATTCACAGTGGAAGCCAGGGCTTCTCAAATCCAGACCGATCCTGACAACTTGCCACGGGCCTCTGCCTCTCCAGACAGAATTCCCAGCTTGCATCAGGAGACTGTTGACCAGGAACCTAAAGATCAGAAGAGGAAATCCTTTGAGGAGGCAGCCTCTGCATCCTTTCCCGAAAAGAAGCCCCGGCTTGAAGATCGTCAGTCCTTTCGTAACACAATTGAAAGTGTTCACTCCGAAAAGCCACAGCCCACCAAAGAGGAGCCCAAAGTCCCGCCCATCCGGGTAGGAGGCCGTTTCCCCTTGGGGGTCAGGAGATTGGTGGAGCCCCTTTGCAGGACTCGTGTATTGATTAAGTGGGCGTATAGAGCCCTCGACAAGAGAGCCATTCCCGAGACCAGTTTGACAATTGGGGATCAGGGTCTTCCTTGCTTCACTGGTTTGTTCACTCTGTTGAAGTTACCTCTAGAGGTCAGAATCCTGTGGGGGTTACATTTTTAATTAGGTGGTGGTAGGTTCTTTGTGTAGTGACTCCCATAGACCCAACAGAAATTAAATTTAGAAGTGCCGCATGTAACAGCTCTTGAGCAGAGCCTTCTGAGAATGGTGTGCTGTTGTGGACCGCCATTTTACCACGACACTTTCATTTTTAACACATTGTGGACGGATCACAAGAATTCTCCCTTCATATTACACAGTGTTTTACAAAGTATACTTTAAAAAGGTATTAGCTTGTAAGGACATGTAATATATAACTTCAAAATGTAATAGGTATTTAATTTTATTTTTATTTATTTTTTTTTAATAAGTTTTTATTGTTCATATTATTACAAATGTTCCTCCCCCCTCCCCCCCCCATTGCTCTCATCCACCAGGTTCCCACCCCACCCTCTGCCCTTTCCCCAATCCCCATTGTCCTCATCCATAGGTGCACAGTTTATGTTCAGTCTCTTCCCACATCCTCCTCTCCCCTTTTCCCCAAGAATCGTCAGTTCACTCCCCTTCCATACCTCTGATTCTATTATATTCAATAGTTAATATTGTTCATCAGGTTTTTTTTAAATTCCCTTGGTTTTTAGATTCACTTGTTGATAGTTACGTATTTGTTGTTCATAATTTTTATCTTTATTTACTTTCTCTTCTGAAAGAACCCCCTTCAGCAATTCATATAATTCTGGTTTGGTGTTGATGAACTCCTTTAGCTTTTTTTTTTATTAGTGAAGCTCTTTACCTGACCTTCGATTCTGAGTGACAGCTTTGCTGGATAGATTATCTTTGGCTGTAGGTTCTTGCTATTCATCACCTTGAATATTTCTTGCCATTCCCGTCTGGCCTGCATGGTTTCTGTTGAGAAGTCAGCTGACAATCGTATAGGTGCTCCTTTATAGGAAACTACCTTCTTTGCTCTTGCTACTTTTAATATTCTCTCTTTGTCTTTTGCTCTTGGAATTTTAATTATGATGTGTCTTGGTGTGATCCTCTTTGGATTCCTTTTGTTTGGAGTTCTGTGCGCTTCCTGGACTTGTAAGTCTAATTCTTTCACCAGGTGGGGGAAGTTTTCTGTCACTATTTCTTTCAGTATGTTTTCGATATCTTGCTCTCTCTCATCTTCTGGGACCCCCATAATTCTGATGTTGGTTCGCTTGAAGTTGTCCCAGAGGTTTCTTACATTATCTTCAATTTTCTGGATTCTCTTGCCTTCTAGCTTCTGCGGAGGAGTGTCTTCTGGCTCTTTATGTTCCAAATCTTTGACTTGATTCTTGCAATCTTCCATTCTGTTTTTAGGACTCTGTATAATATTTTTTATTTCAGACAATGTATTCTTTATTTCTTGTTGATCCCTTATTTCTTGTTGACTCCTTATTAATTTTAGTTGATCTCTTTTCATATCCTCATAGGTCTTATCCATCTTTTCTAGGAAATTCTTGAAAAACCTTATAAGCGTAGATTTGAACTCTATATCCAACCGCTTTTTGTCCTTCATTTCTTTCGTTTGTGATCTATTTCGTTGTCGCATTTCGCAGTTACAGGTGGGCGGGGTTTCAGGGTGGAGCCTACAGCCTTGGCTTCTGTCAGCCCCGCCCTATGCGGGTCCTTCAGTACTCACTGCAAAGCGCCTCTGAGAGAAAGGTGCCCTCGATTTTCGCCTGCTGCCAAACAGTCTATGCTCTCCCCCACTGCGCCCGGTATTGGGGTTCAGTTCAGTTGGAAGTGGAGTTGGAGGTGGCGTTCAGAGCAGTCTGGAGCCCCTGTCTCCTTCCCGCCAGGGCAATCCCGCAGCACAGCTGGCTGTCCCTTCTCTGCGCGCAATGTGCGAGCCGCCGGGACCTCCTTTCGCCGCTCCCCCGGGGTTCCGCCTTACAGCCCAGCTCCCTCGGGATGAGCCTGGGTTCCTGGGGTCTGGTCTAGGACTGGGGTTCAGAGCAGTCAGAACTGGGGCCCAACACAGTCAGAGTTCTATCTCCTTCCTGCTAGGGAACGCCAGCCAGGCACTCGGCCTCCCTCCTCTCTAGCTCCGTCCTCTCTGTGCGCCGCGTGTCTCCGTACCTTAGGCTTTTCCAGCTCCTCCGCACTTCCTTCTGGTTTTCTCCTTGCTTCTCGTTGTAGAATTTCTAGTCAGTCGACTTTCTTGTAGTTCTGGGTAATGTCCATTTTATATTTTAGTTGTATTTTATTGAAATTGTTATGTGCGGCTGCGGCTAGGTGTTTACCTGGGCGCAGCCATCTTGGATCTCCCCGGTATTTAATTTTAAAGCATGCCTTTAACATTTATGTAAAACTTTTGTACTCGTTCAATAGAAACTTATCTGGCCACTGGGTAAAGCCAGTAATAAAACTACTGGTCCGCAATGTGTTAAGGGAAATGATTTAATTCTCTAGACTCCCAATTTAGCTTTACAGTGCCTAGGTCAGAATACCCAGTCAATTAAAACTGTTTTCTAATTCTTCTCTTACAGATACAACTTTCACGTATCAAACCACCCTGGGTGGTTAAAGGTCAGCCCACTTACCAGATATGCCCCCGAATTGTCCCCATCACGGAGTCCTCCTGCCGGGGCTGGACTGGTGCCAGGACCCTCGCAGACATTAAAGCCCGTGCTTTGCAGATCCGAGGGGCGAGAGGTCACCACTGCCATCGAGAGGCGGCCACCACTGCCATCGGAGGGGGGGGTGGCCCGGGTGGAGGTGACGGCAGGACCACCGATGAGGGAGGTGGCAGAGGCAGCAGCAGTGGTGATGGTGGTGAGGCCTGTGGCCACCCTGAGCCCAGAGGAGCCCCGAGCGCCCCTGGAGAGTGTGCGTCAGATCTACAGCGAACACAACTACTGCCGCCTTGTCCTCTAAATGGGGAGCACACCCAGGTTGGAACTGCTACACCCAGAGCCAGGAGAGAGCACCTGGCTTCTCTCAGAGAGGAGGAGAGCTGCTCATTACAGAGGGCACCAGATGCAAGCAGGCGAGAAGATGTCTCCCAACTCGCCATCGCTCCCACTGGGGACCAGCCATGCCAGGCTTTGCCCCCACTGTCCTCCAAAACCACAGCCCCTGAGCGATCAGTTGAGCAGCCTACATTGCATCTAGATGTTAGAACTGAAGGTGAGTCTATCACTCCCTGGGAAAGGGATAATGAGGAGCAAAGACCCACTCTTCCCCCTGACAGTGGTCCTATTCAGTCTCTGGTGGGGGGTGTTGTATTAGAAGGAGGAACTGACCAGGCTCTGGACCGGGACGGTAATCCAACCGTGCAGGATCCTGTGAATGTGACCCCCAGTTCTACCCCTGATTCGTCACTGACTGGCTGCCTACAGGACAGATCATTAGGACTTGGTGACTCATGCCCACCCATGAAGGGAAGTGCTACTCAACAAGAAGACCTGAAAACCGAGGCTTTCTTCTCTCCTGTGGAAGAGCCCGAGCCAGGCTCCAGGGAGAACATTGCATCTGTCCAGCCCCAGGTTGGAGAAGAGTGGGAGAAGGCTATTCCCCTTATTCCTGCATTGCCTGGGGGATTGACAGCTGAAGATGATTTGGATCTCCCTAGCTGTCCTTCACTTGGGACAGTGCCATCTCACGGGTGCAGTGACAGCCTAGGTAACGACTGCAAACAGGTGGAAGTTATAAAAGTGAAAATCAATGGAGACTCTGAAGCACTGAGTCCTCACAGCGAGTCCACTGACACAGCCTCTGACTTTGAAGGCCACCTTTCTGAGAATAGCAGTGAGGCTGACCCCACTGAAGCCACAGTGATGGAGAGGTCCTCGGTGGTGGACAAAGAGGAGAAACACGATTGGAACCGCTCTGCCTCACTCGCCAAAGTGAATGGTGACCATAGTCTGGTTAAAAGGACAGACAGGATGATTGCTCCTCAGAGCTGGGTGTCTCGCGTATGCGCAGTCCCCCAAAAGATCCCAGATTCCCTGTTGCTGGCCAGTACCGAGTACCAGCCGAGGCCTGTGTCCCTGGGCAGGCCTGGGTCCTCAGTGGAAGCCACTAACCCACTTGTGATGCAGTTGCTGCAGGGCAACTTGCCCCTAGAGAAGGTTCTTCCTCCAGCCCTCTCTGGCAGCAAACTGGAACCCCCACGACTCCCACTTGCCAAAGAGCAGGGGATGGGATCTCTGCAAGATCCAGGGGGGAACAGTTGTGTGGTTGGAAGAGCTTTGAAGGAACCTCTTCTACCCAATAGCCGTGAAGCCAACACTGGTCTTGCCAGACTGGAGGCCACCCAGGCTCCTGGAATGCCCCCAAAGATTTCCAAGATGGTCCCAAGTTCAGATTCCCTCTATCCAGTGACCAATCCGACAGCTGCCTCTGGGAAAATAGAAGTGGATTCCAAAGAGCAGTTCTCTTCCTTCAGTTGTGAAGAACAGAAGAAAGGCCGAGATCTGCCCCAGTGCAGTAATTCAAATGCTGCCCCAGGCAAAAGTCCAGGAAATCTCACTACCTCGAGAGCCCCTTGTTTCTCATCTCCAAATGTGATATCCTTGGGTCCTGATCAGACAGGCCGAGCCCGGGGTGATCAGAACAGTGCTGGAGGTCAAGGGAAGAAGCTCTTTGGCTCTAGGAACCTGGCTGCAGCCCTTCAGTGCCCCAAGCCTGTGGAGCCAGTGCCGCTGCCCGCTGATGCCCCTCCTGGATTTCCCAGTAGGAAGTTGGGGCCAAATAAAAACTCTGTGTCTGGTGGGGTACAGACCACCACGGAAGACTGGGCTCCAAAGCCACCACCTGCCTCTGTTGGCAGCATCAAGAGTGAAAAGACTTTTGTGGGGGCTCCTCTCAAGGCAGACGCAGAGAACAGAAACGAAGCTGGGCCTGGGCCTCGGGATCTGGTGGATCACTTGCAAGCGATGCCCTTTGTCCTTGACCTGCCCTTCTGGAAACTGCCCCGAGAGCCTGGGAAAGGGCTCAGTCAGCCTCTGGAGCCTTCTTCTATCCCCTCCCAACTCAACATTAAACAGGCATTTTATGGGAAGCTTTCTAAACTCCAGCTAAGTTCCACCAGCTTTAATTATTCCTCCAGCTCCCCAGCCTTTCCCAAAGGCCTTGCTGGAAGTGTGGTGCAGCTGAGCCACAAAGCAAACTTTGGTGCGAACCACAGTGCATCACTTTCCTTGCAAATGTTCACCGACAGCAGCACAGTGGAAAGCATTTCGCTCCAATGTGCGTGCAGCCTGAAAGCCATGATCATGTGCCAGGGCTGTGGTGCGTTCTGTCATGACGACTGTATTGGACCCTCCAAGCTCTGTGTATTGTGCCTTGTGGTAAGATAATAAATTATGGCCATGGGAAAAGTTGTATATTTAGTGTGTGTATTTTGATAATGACTGATCTTAAGCCTGTATACAGAATATCATTGATGTAGTAGACTGTCTCTTCAGGCAGGAGCACTCTTGCCTCTCCCTAAAACTTACAGTGCTAAAGGCCTCTGTCACTGAGCAACCTTCCTGTCTTGCTGGAGGGGCTTCCCACAGGGCAACTGGTTGGGCTGCAACTGGCCCGCTGAGCCCTCGTGTAGACAGAGCCTGGTGAGGTGTAGGTGCCTGCCTGACACCCAGAGGGACCTGAAGTTGAAGAAAGGTTGTTCTCCACACAGGGAACTAACCGACCTGAACTAAGTAGAAATGTCAGTCTTCCACCGCCCCCTCCCTGCTACCTTACCTCCTGCTGTTCTGGGGAGGTGATGGCTGGGGAAGAACCATCACAGGGTTAAGATAACTCCCAGCAGTGCCCACCAGGGGGCTCAAGTACCTGCTGACCTCAGGGTCACAGTTCATTCTGATGCCAGTTGATGGATTTAACCTTTGGTTCTGTTACTGAAGCAAATATGGGACTTCACTGACTCATTCCAATCCACTGGCCCACGGGAGCTTTTGGAACCTTTAAGTAGACCTGCGTGGACAATAGGTCATCTATTTTAAAATCCCACCTGTAGACCTTGTAAGTCAGATGTCCAGATGTTTGGCAGGTGAATGCCTCTGCCTGACACCTTCCCGGTCACTTTGGACTCATGGGAGCGGGCATCTCCACACACCTATGTATGTGAAAAATCATTTTACATTTCAAAACAGTGTGTGTTTCTTATTTTTATATTTTTAACTCTATACTTGGATGTATAAAGTGAATTTTTTGGCTTCTGTAAGTATGCTCTATGCACCTCTAATGTTTTATCATGTATTTATATGTTGTACACAGTACTGGCCAATTCTGTAAATGGATGTATTATATAGACAACACGAACGTCTCTCCCTTACTTTACATTTCGGGCATCATTGCATTAAAGTGGTGTGATAGACTTCTCTCCACCTGTGTCAGAGCCACTGCATGCTGTGCTGCCCAACCTGAGTGATTAACTGGTCATCTGCCAGGTTGGCCCGGTGCCCTGTCACGGTTACCCAGGGGACCTACTGCAGCCTGCAGAGCCAGAGTCAGCCTGCCTGTCCACTGCTGAGCAAATGCATCTTGCTCCTCACATCTCCTCTCCAATCTTCACTGGCTGCTCACTGCCATATGTGACAAATCACCACCACCAGTGTTAAGTGCTTCTCAACTCGAGGGTGAGTGCCCTGGGCAGCCCCACGTGGGCCTTCAGATCTGGCTCCAGGGCACCGCCTGTCAGCAATACCTGGGACCGTGCTCCTCGGGGCCATAGAGCTCATTTTGACAGCAGGTGGGGGAGGAAACAGGCAGGCCTGCTGCCTGCCTCTCCCCCAACACATTTCTAACAAATGGATGTCTCCATAGTTGTCTTTCCCACCCTGCTTCCTGCCTTATTTCTTGTACCTCAGCTTCTTGCGGAGTTGAGTCCTTGTTTAACCCCAGTCTCCCTGTGTGAGTGCTTAGGTGTGAAATATAAAATTGGTATGACTTCAGATCTCATTTCATCTGAGAGGTCTTCCCCATTCCCATTTCATCCAGCGTGGCATTTTTGTCATCTGAAGCATGAGTGAGAAGTTGGCAGTGATGTGGTGGTGATTTAAATGCAGTATTGGCCTAGTCCAAGTTGTCAACTTGAAGCGTCTGTTTACCAAAGACAGGGAGCAGAGGCCCAAGCGTGTTTGATCCTCTTCTTCCTTCTGTTGTGACCTTTGAGGCCACTCTAGGGTCTAGTCCATGGGGCTGCCCAGAGAAAGCGCTGCTCTTGTATGTCTCCTGTGGTTTGGAAAAATAAACCTGTACAACCTGCATTCGGTCTCCGTCATCTTCTGTGGCTGCCCTCCCCCCGCCCGCCCCGGTGGAGAGGAAGGTTCAGCTGGAGAGGAGAAGCTGCAGATGCCGGCTCCCTCACCTTGGCTCTGAAGCTCGTGTGCTGTAAGGAGCTCCTTTGTGAGGTGAGACTCGGAGGCATAACTTGTCAATTTCACTCCTCAGACTGTGACTTGGCAGGCTCCCACTGCACTGGAGCGGAAATGAATGAAAGTGGTGAGGATGCTCATCTCCACTGCCTCACTGAGCCTGAGATTGCTCGAGAGCTTCCTAATGGCCGATGACGACCTGAGGGAGGGTGGACAGTTCTGACCTTGAGAAGCCATGAACATGGATGGACATCTGTGCGGCAGCAGCCAGCAGTGAGGGAAGTGCTGCCTGCAGACCGAGGCTGGGGAGAGCCAGCCTGCAGGGCTTGGCTTGTCTCAGACATACCTGGAGTACTTACATACATGATTTTGTGCTTCGTAGAATCTTAAGTATGCCGAAAGTAAACAACACGATGGGAAGTAAAGATGAACTAAAAGAAGGATCCGTTGACTTGTTTCCTATAAGTGGGAGGAAACAGACTATGTGGTGGGATCCCTCAGGGCAGTTCAAGCTGCAGTTGGTGGTGCTGTGGGTGTGACTGGGCAGCCACCTGGTGGTGAAGATGTGTCCATGTGCCTTCATGCCAGAGTCTCTGCAGGAGTTCAGAAGGCATTAGGGTACAGAGTTGCATCTCATCAGCGAGGCAGAATAGTGCGGAGGGTTGGAGTACAGACTCTGCTGTCTACTCACTGTGATTGCCAGTTACTCAGCCTCTGCCAACTTTTCCATCTCTGAATGGGGTTAGTATCTCCATAAAGCTATTAGGGCCTGGCACATAGTAAGTACCCCAGACTGTTAAGTGCACCAAGCCAGACAAATCACCACAGAATTTATAGTGGAAGCTATAGGGCTCTTGCTTGACCCTCACCCCGAGGGGAGCTGTGGCGGTGCAGGCCTGTGGTGGACATCTGGCCCGTGGCCTCATGCTGTAGTTGTTGAATACACAGCACAGTTTTTAGAGGTGGAGTGCTTGGTGGTGGAGACATTTCCTTCAGAGGACAAGGAAACCTGATGGTTCGGAATATGAAAACTCAGTGGCCTTTTTGAGGTGTCATGTCCAACCTGCTCTTGAGAAAGACCCAGCCTGAGGGGTGTGTGTGCTTAACAGAGTAGCCCTCCTGCATCAGGGGCTTGGGGGAGCAAGCATCTGCCTGCCTGTGCCCTGAGAGGAGGTGGCACAGCCTGTGTTGTCCTCCTGTATGGACTTTATGACCTTAGAGATTAACACTTTGTATGCCATTAGCGTCTATAGATGCAATTAAATTCAAAACATTGTGGCGTGTGGGGATGGTTTCTGATTTGGACGTGTGGCAGTTAATTGGTTAATAGTTGAAGCCAAACCTTGATAATGCCTAATTCTTCCTCTCTATGGATCAATTTGTTGATTTTATTTAATTATTTTTATTTTTAAAAATATATTTTTATTGATTTCCGAAAGGGAGAGACAAACAATGATGAGAATCATTGATTGGCTGCCTCCAGCCGCCCCCACTGGGGATTGAGACTACAACCCAGGCATTTGCCCTTGATTGGAATTGAACCTGGGACCCTTAGTCTGCAGGTTGACTATCCACTGAGCCAAACCAGCTAGGGCTCTATGGATCAATGTGAAAGCCTGGAATAAACATCTCTACCAAAAGGTGGACAGAAGTTGTATAAAAAAAGGAGAGACTGGCCTGTGTGGTTCAGTGGTTAAGCATTGACTCATGAACCAAGTCATGATTGGATTCCTGGCCTGGGTTTCAGGCTCCATCCCCAGTAGAAGGAGTGTAGGAGGCAGCCGATCGATGATTCTCTTCATTGATTTATCTCCCTCTCCTCCCTGAAATTAATTTAAAAAGTTTTTTTTAAGGAGAGTAACAAAAAGCTGCCAGTGTAGTGGCTCTTGGCCTTCTGGGAACACAATGGGAGCCTGATGGAATGATGGAAGGTCTGGGCCCTCTCTCCAGGAATGCGAGTTGTAAGTTGTGCATATTATCAGGGTGCCAGTGCTCCTTAGGCACCTGGGGTCTCTCACTTAAGAGCCTCTGACTGATGATAAACCTAATCTGAGTTTATTCAAGAGATCAAGGAGGGGAGAAATGACTTAAGTTTTGGTGACTACTAACCTTCCATAGTACATTTTAAAGTACTTAAATTTTTCTTTTACTTGTCAAGGTTTGTTATGCTGCTTTAAGTCAGGTCCCGTTATCATTGTCTCTGTGTATCTGGCCTCTACAAATGAAAGATCTTTGTTATTAGTATTTCCTGAAGTGAGCCAGAAACCAGGACTTGATGCTCCCTTGATATCGTTTGGGCTCTGATGGTATGTATGATAGAGGTTAGCTAGCGTTTCTGGGAACTGGATTTATTTACTGTAAGACACCATGAAACAATCTAAATTCAGATCTCTAAAAGGTCAGAATTAAAAATGAAACCATTGCCACTTCTGTTGTGTACACTGGTTTCCTAAGTTTACCAGTCTTTGTGACATTTGCATCCACACCAGTTTTGTACTTTCAAAACTGAGGGTTTTTGTTGTTGCTGTTGTTGTTGTTGTTTTTGTGTGTGTGTGTTATAATTGGGTTAAACGGCCAGCAGGAGGTCAGATGTGTGAGATGAACTACAGTGTTGCTCCAGGTTTCCTTTCCTATCGTGCATGCGTGTTCTTCCCTGTCCGAGTGCAGTGAGGTGGCCTGCTTCGTCGCTGTGTATATGCTTTCCCTTCTCTAAGAGGCACTCCTTTTCGACGTCCTGGACATTGTGGACAGCCGTGGTCGGGAGCTCCGTTAAAGAAGACGGGGATCCGGCAGTGCCTCCGTCCTCCAGCGCCTTCTCTGGTCCCAGGATCCCAGTGTTCTCATGGAGCTGTGGCTTCCTCTGAGGTAAGTGCCGTCCTGGTCGACCGTGCGATTGTGTGTGGCCGGTCTGGATTCTGTAGGTGTCGTCCCAGGTCGTTGGGGTGTATGGTCCTTGGTAACGCTCAGCAGCGGTGGAT